TGCAGCCTTGTGCTGACAAAACTACTCTAGAAAATTTTGGATACCACCTCGTATATTTATAAAAACTATTTTTACATTTCTTCAGTTACTTCCTGGTTTCCATGCCTAGGCAAATGATGTCATACATCCCAGGAGGGGAGAAGGGTTTTTCTAAGTTAAGCACACCCTCCTGCCTGTATACCTGAGCTAAGGGCAGATGGATTCCAGGATGTCAATGCTACATGAATCATCCGCCCTTGCTCAAAATGGCCACGTCCAGAAATGCTGGGGGGGGGGGGGGTTTCTCAAAGCGATTTCTCAGCAAAACAAAGCATGGAGACATGGATGGAGGATGGATGGGAGAGTTTGCTTTGAATATTACCCACTTGCTGCCCATCCACAGTACATGTACTGCAAGCAGGCGGCAGGTGCAGGCCCGGCAATGAAAATGTATGTTGCCGACTTTCTTCCAGGTTTGGGGAAGGTGCGCACCGCCTGCCGACCTGTGCTGTGATTGGGCATAGCACAAGTTTGTCAGCAGGTTTCAGACAATGATTTTGGCTGAAACCTGCTGATCGGCTCTGTCCAATCACAGCACAGAGTTCTGTGTTTACAAACACACAGAACTCTGTGTACACAAACCTGCAGTCTAGCTGTTTGTTCTCCCTGAGAAGCAAAAAGAAAAACAGCCAGATCTGTGAGTAACAGAATTTTACATTTTTGAACATATTTGATTTTATTGGATGTGTTTTATAACAGAAGAAGAAAATATATTATTTCAAAGTTTTTGGTCTTTTTTTTCGTTGATATAATTTTTAAAAAAACAGCGGCGGTGATCAAATACCACCAACAGAAAGCTCTATTTGTGTGCAAAAAAAATGATATAAAATTTAATTTAGGTGCAGTGTTGCATGACTGCACAATTGCCATTTAAATTGGTTAAAACCCCTTACATGTACCCAGTGAAGGGTCTATCCTCAGGTGATACACAGAGATTAAACAAAGCCTCCCACATAAGTTGTTGTACCGGTTCACAGTGCTCAATTTATAAAGCTTGTCAGAGTTCAGAGCACAGGGGTGGAAAGTTGAAATTACACTCTTCAGAGCTCAGAGAGGAGAGCTCTGAGAGCTGATTGGAGGGAAGAGACACCCCCCCCCCTCCACACAGCTCACAGGAACAGAGCTGAGGATGTCAATCTGCTGGAGGTCCCTCACCTGTCACCATTTTGCTCTTGGTGTCAGAAGCAATTCATGCTGATGAAGGAGACAGCAGACAGAAATAACACACTTAGTGCTCTTGAATGAGACAAATACACACTATACAGGGATATGCTTTGTTCATTATTTCTTGACTTGGGTTTACAACCACTTTAAAGTGTTACTAAATCCAGGACCCTGCATTCACTATATCCGCTCTCCCGGACCCTGCATTCACTATATCCGGTCTCCCCGGACCCTGCATTCACTATATCCGCTCTCCCTGGACCCTGCATTCACTATATCTGGTCTCCCCGGACCCTGCATTCACTATATCTGGTCTCCCCGGACCCTGCATTTACTATATCCGCTCTCCCCGGACCCTGCATTCACTATATCCGCTCTCCCTGGACCCTGCATTCACTATATCCGGTCTCCCCGGACCCTGCATTCACTATATCTGGTCTCCCCGGACCCTGCATTCACTATATCCGCTCTCCCCGGACCCTGCATTCACTATATCCGGTCTCCCCGGACCCCGCATTCACTATATCCGCTCTCCCCGGACCCTGCATTCACTATATCTGGTCTCCCCGGACCCTGCATTCACTATATCCGCTCTCCCTGGACCCTGCATTCACTATATCTGGTCTCCCCGGACCCCGCATTCACTATATCCGCTCTCCCCGGACCCTGCATTCACTATATCTGGTCTCCCCGGACCCTGCATTCACTATATCTGGTCTCCCCGGACCCTGCATTCACTATATCTGGTCTCCCCGGACCCTGCATTCACTATATCTGGTCTCCCTGGACCCTGCATTCACTATATCTGGTCTCCCCGGACCCTGCATTCACTATATCCGCTCTCCCCGGACCCCGCATTCACTATATCCGCTCTCCCCGGACCCTGCATTCACTATATCCGCTCTCCCCGGACCCTGCATTCACTATATCCGCTCTCCCCCGGACCCTGCATTCACTATATCCGCTCTCTCCCGGACCCCTGCATTCACTATATCCGCTCTCCCCGGACCCTGCATTCACTATATCCAGTCTCCCCGGACCCTGCATTCACTATATCCGCTCTCCCCGGACCCGGCATTCACTATATCTGGTTTCCCACAGTACACAGAACATGGAAATGCAATTATTTTAGTAAATATAAAAAACTGCTAAATACCTTTTCTCATCAGCAGTATATAGCAGTCTTGTGACTTCTAACAGTGTCCAGCCAAGCACTGGTTAAAGCTTTTAGAAGGAGTTTTCATTCTCCCCTGATTGTCCTATGAGGCTGCATGACCCCTGCCCTCTGCTTGGACAGCGCTGATTGGCCCTGTGCTTATAACATGCACCCGCCCGCCCAAGAAAAAAAAAAAAACTCTGGTAATACACACCAAAATGACCAAGCACAGCTTGCTGTTCTATCAGCAGATGGATTGGGGACAGTAGAAGAAGGGGAGGATCAGAGAAGACAGGATCAAACAGCATTTTTACACAATGCAGAGGATTAACCCCTTAGGTCCCACAGCGAGTATAACAAGCATGCTTTACTGTATATACAGACTGATTGTACTGTTGTGCGTTTAGTAATATATTTAAGGTAAACCTTCCACTGCCGGTCCCCCCACCTCCCTCCCTAAATACTTACTTGAATCCTACATCAACCCAGCGCTTTGCCCATCTGCAGTTCTTCTTACCCCTCTTCCTGCTGTCCCAGGCTATACACCGATAGCAGCGGAAACCAACCAGCGAGGAGGGCAGGGCCAAGCCATACTGTGTGTGTCTATGGAAGCACACAGCCAGGCTCGGGACATCTGCCCCATACAGCCTGCTATAGGAGCATGCACAGAAGAGGAGGAGTGGAGAGCACCAGCTGGGGGGCCTAGAAGAAGAGAATCTGGACTTCTGTGCAAAACCATTACAGAGATCAGGTAAGTAGGACTTCTTTTTTTATTTCAATTTTTAATGAAATGGAGGTTTATAACCACTTCAACATAAAGCGTTCTCTGATTGGGTGAGTGAAGTCACTGCCCCGCCTCTCCAACTCATCAAATCAGAGAAGGCATTCACAGGAGGTATGTCAGGTGACAGTGAGAAATATGTGTGTATATATACTCTCTCTCTATATATATATATACACTACATTGCCAGAAGTATTGGTCGGCTGGCCTTTCCACACACATGACCTTTAATGACCCCCCAGTCTTAGTCCGTAGGGTTCAATATTGAGTTGGCCCGCCCTTTCCACACACATGACCTTTAATGGCCCCCCAGTCTTAGTCCGTAGGGTTCAATATTGAGTTGGCCCCGCCCTTTCCACACACATGACCTTTAATGGCCCCCCAGTCTTAGTCCGTAGGGTTCAATATTGAGTTGGCCCCGCCCTTTGCAACTATAACAGCTTCAACTCTTCTGGGAAGGCCGTCCACAAGGTTTAGGAGGGTGTCTATGGGAAGGTTGGACCATTCTTCCAGAAGCACATTTGTCAGGTCAGGCACTGATGTCGGGGGAGGAGGCCTGGCTCGCAGTCTCCCGCTCTAATTCATCCCAAAGGTGTTCTATGGGGTTGAGGTCAGGACTTTGTGCAGGTCAGTCAAGTTCCTCCACCCCAAACTGGCTCCTCCATGTCTTTATGGACCTTGCTTTGTGCACTGGTGTGCAGTCATGTTGGAACAGGAAGGGGCCATCCCCAAACTCTTCCCACAAAGTTGGGAGCATGAAATTGTCCAAAATGTCTTGGTATGCAGACGCCTTAAGAGTTCCCTTCACTGGAACTAGGGGGCCAAGCCCAACCCCTGAAGAACAACCCCACACAATAATCCCCCCCTTCACCAAACTTTACACTTGCCACAATGCAGTCAGGCAAGTACCGTTCTCCTGGCAACCACCAAACCCAGACATGTCCATCCGATTACCAGACAGAGAAGCGTGATTGGTCACTCCAGAGAACACGCCTCCACTGCTCTAGAGTCCAGTGGCGGCGTGCTTTACACCACGGCATCCGACGCTTTGCATTGCACTTGGTGATGGAAGGCTTGGATGCAGCTGCTCGGCCATGGAAACCCATTCCATAAAGCTCTCTACGCAGTGTTGTTGGGCTCATCTGAAGGCCACACCAAGTTTGGAGGTCTTTAGCTATTGACTCTGCAGACAGTTGGTGACTTCTGCGCACTGTGCGCTTCAGCATGCACTGACCCCGCCCTGTCATGTGACGTGGCCTACCACTTGGTGTCTGAGTGGCTGTTGTTCCCGGTTGCTTCCACTTTGTTATAATCCCACTAACAGTTGAGCGTGGAATATTTAGTAGCCAGGAAATGTCACGGATGGACTTATTGTACAGGTGACCACCTATCACGGGACCACGCTTGGAGTCACTGAGCTCCTGAGAGCGACCCATTCTTTCACCAATGTTTGTAGAAGCAGTCTGCATGCCTAGGTGATGATTGTATACACCTGTGTCCATGGAGGGGATTGGAGCCCTGAATCACATGACTGGAGGGGACTGGAACACCTGAATCACATGACTGGAGGGGACTGGAACACCTGAATCACATGATTGGGGGGGGGGGGGGAACAATACTTTTGGCAATATAGTGTATATAGATATATAAAATATAAATAGAAAACTATGATAATAAAGCTATAATACTAGGAGGTGTCAGTGACACCAATGGGGGAGGGGTGTACACAGAGGTGACAGTGAGAAATGTACACTCACATATATATATTAATAGGGGATGACAAGGACACACAGCGGGCCCTGTAGGCCTCTCACACACGCACACATAGGAGGCCCCAGTCCCGCCCCCCGGCTCTCTTACCGATACATTGCCCCACCGGGGTGCTGTACGGGTTCCCCAGCAGAAACTCCATCTTGATGACAACAAACAGCCGGCCTCTCGATTCACTCCCACAGCCAGGCCGAGCTCCCGCCCTCTCTCCGTCCCCATTGGACGAGCGGAAAGAATCCCGAACCTCGTTGGACCATTCTGTCACTCCGCCCGCCCCCACCGATGATGGTTTTCACTCCATTGGTTGACGCACCTGTCAACCTTGAATGTTGTCCTTGCTAAGCTAGAGGGGGAATGACAGGCTAACGCCGTCCTCAGAGCCTGATTGGTCGGCGCGCTCTGCCCATCCCCTTGTCATTTAATCGCCCGCCTCTTCGGACATCCCGGTGAGGGATTGGCTAACAACGTTTTGAATGGGAAAGCTTTATATTCTGTCGTGCTAACAGTGAACATCGCTTTCATTGGCTATTTCTTAGCACGTGTGCAGTTGCTCTTGGCTACCAAGGACGCCTCTGTATTCGCTGTGGTGGGAGTCAGGTAATGGAAAGTCCGTAGTGTAAGATGTTATCTTTTATACGGAAACTGCATCTCAGAGTGCGATGTGTGAAGGGGCAACCTGAAAGAGTGTCCCCAGGCAGGACTTTTATATTTATATAACATGGTGAGGGGACAGAAGTCAGCGCACACCCCTCTGTCAGGGTTTCCTTGTAATAGTCACTGTGTCTGTTAGTCCTGGTGATCACTGTCACTGGAAAGCAATAGAAAAATCCAAAATGTTGTCACCAGAACAGGAAGAATGGGGATCCGTGTTCTTGTGACAACTTGGAGAGATTTCCTCTTACTTCCTGTTGTGTCCACCAGACAGGAAGTGAAGGTCACCAGTGGCACAGGTAGCAAAGAGAAAACTAACAAGTGGTTCAAACCATTCTAAACATGTGACATGAAGAACAAATGGCTTTATACTATATACTGTTGCAAGCCAGAAATCCCGCGAGCTTCCCGTGCTCTGCGCCGGCATTGTTCCCGGTTATTTCTGAGGGCTACATAACTCCTCCTTCCTATGTTATGGAGATGAGGAAAGGAGGGCATGTTCTGTATACAGTACGGTGATTGAGCATTAGACATGTGCTTTTCGTTTCGTTCCAGATTGAAATTCACAAAAAAGTTTTGTGATACGGATCTGGAATAACGAATTATCTGAATTCAATTCAAATCAAATTCAAGACAAATTTGAAAACAAATTGGAAGTGTAAACATATTGCTGATGGTTCCTGATTTCCTTCAAAGTCTATATGTATTAGAATATAGCTGTCTTCCGAAATTCACATTTTGAAAGGAATAGTAGAAGAATAGAACAGAATAAAATAGAAAAAAAATAGAATAGAAAATAAAGGAACAGAATATAAAATAAAAGAACAGAATAAAATAGAATAGAAAACAAAATAAAGGTACAGAATAGAAAATAAAAGAACAGAAAAGAAATAGAATAGAAAATAAAGGAATATAATATAAACCAAAATAAAGGTATAGAATAGAATAGAAAATAAAGGAATATAATATAAACCAAAATAAAGGTATAGAATAGAAAAGAATATAATAGAAAATAAAGGAATATAATATAAACCAAAATAAAGGTATAGAATAGAAAAAGAATATAATAGAAAATAAAGGAATATAATATAAAAAAAAATAAAGGTACAGAATAGAAAAGAATAGAATAGAAAATAAAAGAGTCAAATGGAAAAGAAAGTAAAATAATCAAACAGAATAGAAAGAATATAGCCATCTTCCAAAATTCACATTTTGAAAGGAATAGTAGAAGAATAGAACAGAATATAAAATAGAAAAAAACATAGAATAGAAAATAAAGAAGTAGAATAAAATAGAAAATAAAAAGAACAGAATAAAATAGAATAGAAAATAAAGGAATAGAATATAACCCAAAATAAAGGTAAGAAAATAATAGAATAGAAAAAAGAAAAGAGTCAAATTAAAAAGAAAGTAAAATAATCGAACAGAATAGAAAGAATATACCCATCTTCCGAAATTCACATTTTGAAAGGAATATTAGAAGAATAGAACAGAATAAAATAGAAAAAAAAAATAGAATATAAAATAAAGGAATAGAATATAAAAAAAAAAAAAAAACAGAAAAGAATAGAATATAAAATAAAATAATAGAATATAAAATAAAATAAAGGTATAGAAAATAATAGAATAGAAAATAAAAAAAAAAGTAAAATAAAGAATATAGCCACCTTTCGAAATTCGAATAGAATAAAACCATACTGAACAGGGGATCAGCAGAGCTGGGATTACTACTGAGTGGAGATCGGCAGAGCTGGGGGGGTACTACTGAGTGGGGGATCTGCAGAGCTGGGGGTATACTGCATCTGCAGAGCTGGGGGTACTACTGAGTGGGGGATCAGCAGAGCTGGGGGTACTACTGAGTGGGAGATCTGCAGAGCAGGAGCTGGTGGGTACTACTGAGTGGGGGGATCAGCAGAGATCTGCAGAGGGGTACTACTGAGTGGGGGATCAGCAGAGCTGGGGTTACTACTGAGTGGGGGAGTGGGGGATCTGCAGAGCTGGGGTTACTACTGAGTGGGGATCTGAGTGGGGGATCTGGGGGATCAGCAGAGCTGGGGTACTACTGGGGGGTGTCTGAGTGGGGGGGTACTCTGAGTGGGAGGATCTGCAGCAGGCTGGGGGTACTACTGAGTGGGGGATCTGCAGAGCTGGGGGTACTACTGAGTGGGGGATCTGCAGAGCTGGGGTTACTACTGAGTGGGGGATCTGCAGAGCTGGGGTACTACTGAGTGGGGGATCTGCAGAGCTGGGGGTACTACTGAGTGGGGGATCTGCAGAGCTGGGGGTACTACTGAGTGGGGGATCTGCAGAGCTGGGGGTACTACTGAGTGGGGGATCAGCAGAGCTGGGGGTACTACTGAGTGGGGGATCTGCAGAGCTAGGAGTACTACTGAGTGGGGGATCAGCAGAGCTGGGGTGTACTACTGAGTGGGGGATCAGCAGAGCTGGGGTTACTACTGAGTGGGGGATCTGCAGAGCTGGGAGTACTACTGAGAGCTGGGGAGTCTGCAGAGCTGGGGGTACTACTGAGTGGGGGAATCTGCAGAGCTGGGGGTACTACTGAGTGGGGGGATCTGCAGAGCTGGGAGTACTACTGAGTGGGGAATCTGCAGAGCTGGGGTACTACTGAGTGGGGGATCTGCAGAGCTGGGGTACTACTGAGTGGGGGATCTGCAGAGCTGGGGGTACTACTGAGTGGGGAATCTGCAGAGCTGGGGTACTACTGAGTGGGGGATCTGCAGAGCTGGGAGTACTATTGAGTGGGGGATCTGCAGAGCAGGACTGTAAGCTTACCATTTTATTCAGTGACAGGAGCTTTGATTGGTATTCACAGGGCTTTAAAAAAACCATGCCCAATGCCACATTTTGAAGTAAGTGTAAACAAGCTCTTAGTGGCAGGACCACCAGGTAAAAATCAAGAATAAAGAAAAAAAAAAAAATAAAGACCCCCACAAATATAGCCATTATATCTATGGAATGACAAGCTGCAATATATTATGTTTGTTTTTGGCTTCAGGTACATTTTAATACTTTAGATACTTCTGCATTACTTGCTGGATCCTGGTTTGTTACTGTTTCCATTTGTGTTTGTGTAAAGGTGAGAATGAACGGGCTGTACGATACGGCAGAACCAAATGTCATCGATGACGAAATGCTGAGGAGAGCCGTGGAGGAGCAGGGCCCGAAGGAGGAAGCCGGACGCATAGCCAAGGTGGAGGGCATTGATTTCAAGGATGTCACTAGCCTGCGCCTCGATTTCAGACGTAAGGCTTCTGTAATTTTATATTATGCCACAACTCCAGATATAGCGGCTCAGTTTTAGTCAACCACTTGAGTCCCGGGTGCTGCTTTATACTACCTATTTGAAAGGAAACCAGTCCCAACGTAACCACCATCCTCCACCGTCACCCACCAACCCCCCCCCGTAACCACCATGCTCTACCGCCGCCCACCACAACCCCCCACCCAACGGAAACACCATCCATTTTTTTGAGACAGATAAAAGCTTTATTTTGGTGGTATTTATTCACCGCTGGGATTTTTATTTTTTTTTTTGCTAAATGAAAAAGTCCAAAAATTTGGAAAAAAAAAGTGTTTTTCTTATAACATTTTGCAAATAAATAATATTTCATCATAAATCTTGGCCAAAATTTATTCCGTTTATCTTCTTAGTAAAAAAAAAAAAAGCCAAATTAGTTTATAACCAAAAATTATAATTTTGAAACATTTTTTTTTACATTTTTATTTTTTTATATTATTATTATTATTATTTTTTTACATACTGTCACCCTAGCAGTACAGTATCACCATGGTGACACTGTACTACTTGTGAGGGGTAGATGAAGATTTTTTTTTTTTTACACTGATTGTTTTTACACCCATATAGGATGTAAAAGCAATCATTTCTCTTTCTCTCTCTCTGCATTCTTGCAGCCATTGAGAACTACTGAGTGAGCTGTGATTGGTCACAGCTTGTCACATGGTGCAAGGCTGTTGTGAATAGCCCTGTACCATGTGACCTCTGTGATCATTCACAGATTTCACACGTAGTAAGCAATGTAGTCACAAGTGACATCTTGCTTACTACTTTGCATGTGATCACTGATTGGCCAATCAGTGATCACATGATCAGGACCTCGTATAGAGGTCCCGTCCGATGATTGGTGTTTCACTGTGTCCGGAGGACACAGCGGGCACCGGATCGCTGTGCTGCGCGCTCCCAGGGAGCACGCACAAGCAGGGTGCAGGGAGGCCGTTTATAAACGGCCACCTGACCCTACACTGCCACCGTCCGGCTGTTTATATGCAACGGCCGGTCGGGAGGTGGTTAAATGCTAGGCGCGTTTAGCACTTGAGTGGTAGTTCATTTTAATGGCCAGAATAAACAATCATTCTGGCCAAGGAAATGGATTAGTACCCAAGCGCTTGAAGCTTGTAAATACACCTAAATGCTTGTAAAAACTTTAGATACTTTTACAAGCACCAGACGTTTTTTCTGCAAAGACGCTGGTGCCTGGAGGA